TACTATTGCAAATTAACTCACAGTTTCAATGTGGGAAGAAGGGCCCAACTGCGTCAGGAGAGATCACAAGTAAATGAGGAGTGAGGAAATGATAAAATCACAATAATACTTTGAACTTGCTGACTTCTGTGCCACACTGTAGGAACTTAGTTACCAATAACGAGCTGAATTATTCCACTTCCTGTAGAATATCAAGAGCAACTGTAGTAATTTGTTTAGGTGCATTGATTGTAGAGATAGTTGAGCTTAATGTGCTCATGCTTGTTTTACCGAGGCTAAATTTGTAGCCTGGTGGAAAGCAGGTATAGTTGTTAATGACTTCTAAGAACTGTTGTCTTTTAGGGATCTCTTTCAGTCAACATGCAACACTCTCAGTGAACGAGGGGAATATTTAGACAGCGAATGCAGAAAGTAACGTGAATATGACAAAGCACACTTCAGCTTTTAGTTTAGAAACTCATCTTGCATGGTTGCCGAGTTCTAACATGGTGCATTAATCAATAAGCTTATTTTTAAAAAAGTGTTTTTCTCTTTTAATATTTTTCTGTTATTTAAAAGTTGTACATGTGACCATATGGCTACTGTCCCTTCATCAGTTTTAGAGGGAAGATGGAAAAACGTGAGTCTTTCTCAGGCTGCAGCCTTATGTTCTCTGACTTGCTGTTGGCTGTGTGTAGTTTGGGATTTTTGTTTGCTTGGTTTTTGTTTGGTGGTGGCACTTTGTTTAAAAACTTCCTGGTTTACAAAGCAGAATTTGGGAGACAAGTTACAGTTTAACAGCTGTGTATCCCTTCAGCTATTCACCTTTCAGTCCCTCTCAGCTGTACATATTGTTAGAGTGCTCCACAGCCTATTTTGCAGATTCCATTACAATATTTTTCTAATTATTTTTCTAATTACTTCCCATACTGTTTTTTTTTCCTTTTCTTTCCCCAAATATCATACAAAACTTTATAGAGTTTCTGTTAACACCATTTGTTAGAAGAGCTGGTATTATTTCTCTGCAAGTAGTAAAATTATACAAATGATATTATTTTTTTAAATCCTATTAGCATCATTATTAAACACAATCATAGTATAAATAGATTGAATTTGCATTGTATTAACATTGTATTTTTTCCCCCTGTATAATGAATTGGCAATCGAAACACAGGATTCGGGTCATCTCATTCCCCGCTCCTTTCAGGTAGGTGGTAATTAGGTAAAAAAGGAAACTGCCTAGTGGAAGCATGCTAGTATTTGGGGTTTAAAACATGACAATCTGGGCTATGCTATATAAGTATGGACCAATACCTAGTTATATAGGGTTTTATATACTTGCTAGGGTGTATACCTGCCCCATCACCAAATGCATACATTATTAGAAAACACTTTCTGGTTATGTAGAAACTCTTTGCTTCTGGAAACATCTGTCTGCATTTATTAATGCTTATCATGTGTGTGTGACTGTATTATCCAGACACCTGACAATGAAGTACAGTTGGAAGAAACCAGCCATCTTGCGAGGCCTTTGTGACTGGGACAGGAAGGTCGTGTGCTCCCTGGTACCGGGCAGCAGTGGGGGGAGCTGAGTGGCAGGCTGCACTGCTGCCAAGGACTCTGCATCGTCACTGTATGCATCTCTGAGGTCATGCTGCAGCCTAAATTTGGCCTTGTTCTGTGGACTGAACATCTTTTGATGTGTTTGCTCTGTTACCGTTTTGAGCTTGTACATCTCTGTCAGGGCTTGGAAAGCAATTGGTGTGCAAATGGCTAGGGGCTTCTGCCTTAGTTTGCTCTACAAGGAAGCTGGTTTACACGCACCAACACTGCTCTGCAAAGCAAACCAACACCTGGAAGTGGGAAGCCGACTGAGAGACTCACTTTGAACCCACTTTTTGTCCAAACCAAAATGTTTATGTAAACTCAAAGCCTAACAGATGAGTTCTCACTAGGCAGAATGAGGACGCTGCACTGACTGTATTGCCTGAGATCTGAAGTTTAAGCATCATATAGCTATTATTTTTTTACATGTATTATTATGCAAATTATGTATCTTTATACAGAAGTGTATACATATATACACAAATTTTACTTAAATATGTAAAAGTGAAATTTGTATATACCTACACATGCATATACGTACATATATTTAGCTTAAGCTACTATTGCAAAATTCTGACTGAGCTCCCAAGTTCTCAGCAAAGACTGATGTTTTACTTAATGAATCTATTTGATTTGTGAAAAGTCTGAAAAGCCACTTCCATGCTTTGTCGCCTTTGTCTAAGTCACTTTGATCAGCAGATCTGATGCAAGTACCTAAAACCTGATCTTGTACTGCTCTTTAATCTATAGCCAGCTATTTGGAACAGACTAATGGCCTTCATGTTTTTATTTTAAGTAAAACTGTGAACAAGTTTTTGATTTTTGATGTCATAACTCAGATTATATACCACTGTTTCTCCCTTCCCTTCCCTTCCCTTCCCTTCCCTTCCCTTCCCTTCCCTTCCCTTCCCTTCCCTTCCCTTCCCTTCCTTCCCTTCCCTTCCCTTCCCTTCCCTTCCCTTCCCTTCCCTTCCCTTCCCAGGTGGGTGGAACATCATAAATCATGTGGGAATTTAGCTGGTACACATTTTTTTCTTGTTGAAAAATAGAAACGGTGTGACTGGGATTTGTGTGTGTCAGCTGCACGGGGGCATTCCTGTAGGCAGGGCAGCATTTGGCAGTGCTGTAACGTGGCCTTGGCTCAGCAGCAGGGAAGCCTTCATCACCAGCTCTCTGGATTCCTCGCTCGCCTGCATTTACTGCTGTTCCTGTGAGTTGTCAAAGCCCCAGCCATGGAAAAGCTTGTATCAAAGCCACGGGCAATACTATTGATTAATTAACTGCTGCTGTATGGCAAATCGCTGGGGTATGTTTCACGTGTGACATGGGGTTCTGTCAGCATTCACACAGCTCCCACATACAAGGTACAGTGGTACCATACCATGCCACACCTGTGTGACACTGTGACCAAGACAAGCAGAGCGATCGAGCGTCATGGAAAGGAAAGAAAAGAAATATATGCATATAACAAATCAAAAATAGTTTTGTTGTCGTTTGGTTTTGTAATTAAGAAGATACAGAGCAGATATTTTATAGATGTGGGATGAAATCAGGAAACAGAAATTGATAACTTTGTTAGAGGGACATGGTTTTCATCTTAGAGATTCTTAGAGAATACATAAAAATTAATTGCAAGTTGTTAAAACTTGCTTTCTCTGTTGCTAATTAGGCCTAGGCTCGATGCAGAGCAGTTGCTAGTGCCTTGCAGGTAACAAAGTGTTTGTAGCTTAAACCCTGATCCAGATATGCTTTTGTAGTACTGTTTGAATAAGTGTATATTGTCTTTGGTTTGGTGTACAGTACACAAAGTGTATGGCTTGAGTCATTTTTCTATACTGGGTTAAAAAAGAAGGCCCTTATGTTAGATCCTGATTAGCTTGAGCCTGAGCACCAACATGAACCAAGGTAAAACACAGCAGTCCCATGAGGATCCTATGCTTCTGTGTGCAGTGTTGTGAGACACAGGACTCTGTTCTGGCTGTTCTGCTATGGGATCCTACATCAGGAGACTGATACAACCGATCATATCATAGTGTGGGTCAATGTCATAGTTTTTTTCAGTCAGTGTTCTTTGAAAATGAATATTCTTTGGACAGTTCTAACTTGTAGGATGAAATGGCAAGACATATGGGAAAACATATGCTGTGGGAACAGGTGAGTAACTGGAAGATATGTGAAAAAACAGGAGTTGACTGTCTGTTAAAGACATCGAGGAGATTTGCATATCTAAAAATACCTTTTGATAATTTACAATCCCGATGTTATGGTGAGATTAAGACTCTTGATGTAACACAGGAGTATGTTAAAGTTAAATATCTGTTAAAAAACTGATTCCTGCTATAGCTGTCAATTAATATCAAAAACATTTCTCAAGTCATTCCTTCTTTTAGAGCTTTGTGGTGGATTCCCTGCAGAGTGTGCATGGGGAAGGAGGTGCAGCACAGTCCAGACATGGTACCTTCCTAAATCCCCCTACTTCTGTGATGTGCTCTGTCTCTCTAACATGCTGGGAGTAAATTGCATATGGTATTAGTAGTATGGTGTCTGGGTGATAGATGGTTTCCAAGTGCATACAATGATTTAGGAAGCATTGCAATAGCTAAAAGTAGTTGTTTAGGTTAGAAAAGTGGGCTAATTGAAAACACATCATAGAAGCAAGGTTGTAAGTCATACTCCCCTTACTTCACATGTATTGCAGGGAGAAAGACATGTTTAAAAAAAAAAAAAAGAAACAACAATAACAAAACACCGGAAAGTCATCCAGACATAAGAGATTACGTTTAGAAAAACTTTTGTTCCCAATGTGCTAAAAACGTTAATATGCATCTGGCATACAATGATAGCAGCATGCTGAATTGCAGGAAGAGAGGTATTGGGGGGTTAGGATCTGTTTTTAAGATTTGTTTGTGCTCAATATTCAGCAAAAATAAAAGAAATATAATTAGAAGACCGTGAACCATGGTAGGAGTTGTTTCTTCCAAAGAGGAAACAATGAGGGGAAGATGTCTGCTGAAATAGTCCCTCAGCAAAGGCAGTTGAGAGATGGCCACAGAAGGAAATCTGTTCAGCAGCCCATAATTGCCCTGAGTTCCAGGTAGATGTTGATCTTTTGTTCAGCTGATTTCCTTTTGGTAACTATTTTCTGCTTTGCAATCAAGAGCCAGAATGAACTTATGCTTTTCCTTATTCTTAAGGAGCCTAAGGCTAGTTGCCCTTCAGGGAACAAAATAAGTAATTGCAGCAGTTGCAGCAGCAAGGTAGAGACAGAATGCTTCAACTCCAAGATGCTTTTGAGTTCCTGGGTTTTCTGAGCTCGGTTTGACACAAAATAGTGGCTTGCAAAAGGAAGCCTACAGTGGCAGGCATTAGCCAGTGTGTTTTTGACAGGTTGCAGCTGAAGAGAAAGCAGCATTCAACTTGGGAGCTAGCTGCAGGTCCTGCAGGTGCCCCCCAGCTACTCTGAGTGGGCCCTGGGTCTGGCCACTGGGCAACTTTTCCTCCACCAGGATCTGATGATCTGGGTGTAATGAAAATGGAGGCTGAGAAGGAATTCACAACAAATCACAGCTGAACAGTGTGTTCATATGATTCCCATACAAGAAAACTATTTAACAGCATATTCAGGCCACATGTTTGCAATTCAAAGATTACACCATTTAATGATTTATTAAACTGAGGCCCATCTTTCTCCAGCCTTTTTAAAAGGCTTCTAGGTTCTTGCTAGTTGTCTTGTTAATGTGTATTAGATGGATAATTGATGAATCACAGCTACCTGTAAGTAGCTATTGACATTGGTAACATTTTGATAAAGCATAGAGGGAAATGAGACAACAGGATTCAAATGCCTTTTGGCTTTTGTAATTTTGAGTAGGTCTCAGAAATGCTTTGAAGTAATGTGACCTCCTATGAACAATGTTACATGCATTCAGGGGCATCAAAATGGCTATGTTTCTAAAATTTATATACTATATATATTGAGTATAATTTGATGGGTCTAAAGTATCATTGGTACCCTTCTTATTCATCCTATTTTTCACTTCTGTGAAGTCTTTTATTTATTTTTTTTCTTCCAATGTGATTGAGAATGTTCAATGTTCTTATATTTCCAGGCCTTTTTTTTTTTTTTTAAGCGAAGAGTATACAAAAGAAGTAGCATTTATCTTACTGAATATACTGAGACCCACTAATATTTAACTAATTTTTGAATTTTGTTTAAGTCATGCTGTAATATTTAACTATTTTAATTCTAGACTATATTCTTGTAACTGCCAACTTCTTTTTCTACTTAAAAAAGATACAATAACAGGTGTGTTAACTGTCAGTAGCAGGCTATGGTGAACCTATTGTGTACTCCTATTTTCTGTGCATAAAATTTCTATTTTAATAATACCTTATGGTAGAAGATCTTTTAATTATAGATATTTAATTAATAATTTAATTATAAACCAATGTACAACAAGAATATTTCCATGAAGAAAAAAAATGATACTGCCTTGGTTTTCATTAGAACAGAACAATTAGTGGAGAAATTAAAAAGGAAAAAAGAATATGAGGCTGTCACCCACCCACTGTCAAGGACAGCTGATGAAGAGTGAAACACTCGAGAGCGTTCAAGTTTTTTTCCTAGCTGTAGGAACCTTGGAGATGTTCTTTCTCTGAAGAAAGCTGAGCACTGGTATGGTCATGAAACTCCCTGTACCAGAGAAGTCCTTCCTCCAGAAGTCCTTGGAAGACAATGCTGTGTTCTGAAGATGGGGTCCAGAAAAGCATGGGAGGAGGCCTGTGAACTCCTCTACCAAAAGTATAGTAAATGATACCTTGCTCCAGTCTCCTTTCCCCAGGCAGCACTTCTGCTGCTAATATGTACCAAGCTGAAGTGCAGTGCAGGTAACTGTGGCTTAGGCAAAGACAGATGCATTACTTACTGTCTATCCCTACTAACATGATATCTACATCTGTTTTTTTTTCCACGGAGTAGTGTTTGAATGGTAAAACAAGACTGTGAAGGTAGACAGGGTGTTGAGGTGTGTGAAGTTTTAAAAACAAAGGGTTGAATTTCCCTTACTGTTGTGTTACTAGGGACTTTACCAGTTCTTGCAGACAGCTGTTTCAGAAAGGGCAATAGTGGTTGCTACTGTGCTCAGATCATATACAAGAGCTGTGTATAATGTTTAAGTGCTAAAGTTGAATTTCATTAATGTTTTTCAAGAACAAGCTCACATCCATCAAAGCAAAGTCTGGGCTTGTGATGCTGTTACATATCTTTCTCTGTATGATGTAATTATTAGTAGAAGTAATTTACATTAGGGTAACGTTTAGGCACTGCAAGGATGAAGCCTGTCCATGAAAGGCTTCTGTAAAATAGTAAGCAAGGAGATGATCCTGGCCTTGAGAGCAACCATTTAGGCATAAATCTATGTGAGGATGGATGGGCCACCCCCAGTTCCTGAAGGGACCTCTCTGCAGTAGCTGAAACTTCAATCCTGCTGAGCAATCCTGTGAGGCAAGTAAGGTGCTGTCAGTGGGGTTTTCAAGGGAACTGTGGAAATCTATCAGAGGAGTGGGTGTTCAAGCTTTGTACTGCAACATGTCCACTTATTTATTTGTAAAATATATGAAACAGGGAACATTTCTAAGTCTGGGAGGAGAAGTATTAATAAGAGGTAGAAGGGGTATATTATATAATGTATATTATATATCTTATATATATGAATATAATATGTCCGCTCTGAGAAGTGGAGTGAGTTGAAAATACCTTGCAGTTTCTTGTAGCAAGTAAGTTGAAGAGCAGAAAAGAAGCTGAGATGTAGCAAAGAATTATTTAATCTGAAAATATAAAATGTGTGAAAAAAATGCACCATAAGCCTGATTTTCAGGATATATGATATTGCTGGGTCAGATTTCCTAGGATTTTATACATTGAAAAACTTAAATCATCCTCCACCTTTCCTCCAGGTTATGCATTTTTTTTTCTTTGCTTTTCCTTCACCTTTTGGAACCAGGTTTACAATACTGTGAAATAGATGTGTTTACATGAAGGCTGAAAATTTCCCCTTACCACACTGCTAAATGGATTCAGCAAAGCACTTAAACACAGCCTTTAAACTGAAGTTTAAAAGAAGTTGCACAGAAATTAGTTTACATTTGTATTAGTCCAAAATATGCTTGAGGACTATTATGCGTGTGTATCCTTTCAGGAAACCCTTATTAGACACCAGAGGAAATTATGTATAGATTTGATCTAACCTTTGCATGCACTAGGATTGCTGCCCATTGCTTTTTTTTTTTGTTTGTTTGTTTTAATGACTTAAATAGAAAATTAATTACAAATGAAATATTTAGTAAACTATTATTCTATTGCAGTATAATCAAGCTGATTATGCAAGTAAAAGGCCCTAATAATAGTAAAGAGAACTATACTCCATAAATTTTAGAGATATATCTGTATACAAGTTTTACTTTCAGATGTTGAAAAATAAGCGTGGAATCTCATGGTTCTATTTCATGTTCTCTGCTAACTTGAGTGTAAAATTAGACATACAAACATTTTTAAAAAAAAGGTTGTCTCCAGCCTTCTCTTACAGCTGGAGTAGTATTTGACTGGGGGAGGGCTTTAAATTGAGTAGGCTGATTTAATAAAATGCATTATCATTGTCACATATCTCTAGTCCTTTTTCAGTTAAGAGCTTATTTATTACTCTATTACTATTATCTATACTCACAGAAAAGGAGAGTAGCTCTTTAGAGGTGTAGTGCTGTTTTTTCTTGGTTTGCAGAAGGAACACAAAGTCAGTTTTGCTGCTTTGAGTGTTTGAAACTGTTTCTTGAGCATTATTTTAAATTGATAGCCTTAGTGACACTAAAAGTTGTTTTAACTTCGCACAATAACAGGATTTTTTTTCTTCTTCATTGAGAGGGAGTCTGAATATCACCTCTTAAGTGCCTAAGTTCATTTACTCTAGTCCTTCTATGATTAATGGAGAGGTTCTTTCAGAGAGTGATTTTAAAACCTGCTTCTAGAGATACAGATTTTAAAAAATTAACTTAAAAAAGTTACTGACACAAGTCATGTATCAATGTGGGTCTCTCATTTCATTTTTCCAGAATTGAAAAAAAAAATTGAAAATATTCTAGTATTGTTTGTATAATAGAACTGATTAAAATTCTTCTTTAGTATTTTGAACTTTGAAGATGAGCAATTCCTGAAACTTCACACTTCCATTTTATATGGCTCATAACCTTTAAATGTAGTTACAGTTAAGCAAAAGTATATCAGTTTCAATACATTAATCCTAGATGTGAGATGTGCAGAGCTGTCATTTTCATCAAGTACTCATACATAGTCACTGGACTTTCCATGGGACTATTCCACAGAGACATTTTGCCTTTTAGTAGAAAAACATAATATTTTTTTTCTCAGCAAAACCGAGTAAAATCTGTCTTCAAAGAAAAGCAGCTCTGTACAATCTGTTGTGCTGAACTCTTATTTCTACAAAGCCTTCAAGAACTGAGGAACCTATTTTCACAATTCTGTCATAATATTGTGTTTTTATTTGCCTTTTTTTTCTTTCCTTTTAAATATATCTAGTAAATGTTGTCAAGGAAGCTGCAAATTATCATCCAAGTGCCATCTCGAACAATTAGTCTTTAAACCTGATTGATTATTTAAAAATTAGATGATCAAACCATTAATACTGGGTAATACATGATTCCTGTACATTGTATCTTTATTTGCAAATTCATTCATAACCTGTTAGCCTGCATACCCCCAGCTGTATTCAGTATTTTGCAGGAATGGCTTACTGATTGCTTACTTGCTAAACATTATACATGTAATGGGTCATGAAGTAAAATGGCACTAATTTTTTTTTTTTTTTTTTTTTTTTTAGGGGTAGGAGCATTTACAGAAATATTTGTAAAAGAACAAAGGAAAATTTTTGGAAACTGGTGGAAAGTCAATGTTAGTTGGATCCCTTTGCTCCTATGAACTTTATTCTATAAATTACGAGAGTAATTTTTTGAGGGAGGAAGGAAGTCAAAAGCAGAAATATCTGTGCTAATTGTTTAGTAGCTTTGGCAGGCTTTTGACCTGAGCAGTCAATTCTCCTAACTTCAGATAAGCCCAGACTACTGGCAAGACATGTGCAGTTAAGTAACATTTATAGGTCTTGACTTCCAGAGGATTCAGAAGCACTTGACAGAGTTGAGCAGCTAAAGAAAGAATTTAGGAATGTGTTTACTTTGTTATGTTTCCTGACCAGTCCTCATACCAATGAATTTTTCCATAAGTGGAATTTTCTGCAGAAGGCCAGTGAGGAGCTAGGAAACACTCTCCACCAGGGAGACTGCTCTCACAGTTTGTAAATTACCCCATTACTTCTGTACTTCTGGGTTCTGCTGGTTGTGATTTTCAAAACTGGTTTAGAGTTTACCTGGCCAGCAGTCAAGCACCTACACAGCTGCTCACTCACTCCCCTGTGGGATGGGGGAGAGAATAGGAAGAGCAAAGTAAGAAAACTCCAGTGTCAAGTTGAAGAAATTTTAATACGCCAAGGAAAGAGCAAAAAAACAACTGAAGTGGTGCCAAGGCCTCCCACTAGCAGACCAGTGTCCAGCCAGTCCCTCAGCATCATCCACCTTGGAAACACAACCTCTGCTTCTTTCTCTACTGCCAGTCTTTACTGCTGAGCACGATGGTAGGTGGTGTGGGATGTCCCCTGGCCAGAGTTGTCCTAGCTATGCTCCTTCTCAACCTCTCACCCACCCCTGGTGTG